CAATCAATCAGGCGATTTAAAATAGGTCCAACAGTTTTTCAAAAACTTTATTGTCGTGGATCTTAGGCACAATTTTGTTGCACAACTTCGATTGTAAGTTCTTAAAACAATATTTAACAGTGCACGGCAATGTGCCATCTCATTTGCAATGATAATACCTGCTCGTTTGAAGATGATTTTCAAAAGTTTGTAATACGTTTTTCTGCAAATTGATGGGCGATCCGCATTTTTTTGCACTTAAACTGCTTTAGTGTGTATAATTCTGTGTATACTTTAATTGGAAATTTAAATGAACGCGAAACGCGAACAGGCATTTAGTACATGAGCACCCTTTACCTAGTATTTGCAGTATCTGCAGCTTCTCCCTTGATAATTTGTTGATTCATTGTTATCAGCGTTATAAAATAAACTGCACCGAACACAATAATATCACACTCAATAATTGATAGATCAAAATCACCGTCAGTTTAATAACGCAATGTGTATTTGAAAAGTTTATCAGATCTACAGATGCACCCGCACTAAGAGAAAATAAAGCCTCAGGCGCGAAGAGGCCGGAGTGGGAGCCGCCGTGACCGAGAAAAATCGGTTCACCCTCCCATAAAAAGTTATCACTTCAAAAATAGTAAAATAAATTAAATTAAATTAAAAAAAGTGTTATTAAAAACTGAGAAATTTGCAACAAACTAGGTAACTGTTGAGGACTCGATCTGTTAGCAAGACTACCGCTTTGCCGATTAATACTATGCTCACCTTATAGGGAATCTCATAACAAACAACAATTTCATGCAAACAACAAACAAAACTAAATTTTTGACACCAAATTTTCTGTATTTTTCTTGACTAAACTCCAATTTTGAATCACCCCAAATATCTGTGCGGTGACTTTGAAGCGCCACTAAGAAACGTTTTTTGCCGTTTTAATTGAGACACTTAGAAAATAGGCATTTATTTACGCCTTAAAGCTAATAACAGTAACACATAAATATTCTTAATTATTTAAAGCGCGGTAAGAGCGCAGTTACCACCGAAACTGTTGCTGGGTATTATCCAAGCAAGCTGAAAACCTTCTTACAATAAATATACATATGTAGGTAAGTAGATCGATCAAATACTACAGTTTTTTCAGCGAGTCGATCAATATGGACATTTCCGAGCCTATATTGCTGACTAAACGTTGAATTTGAGGCTTAGAGTCGAGCACCTCCACGCTTTGAGTGTAGGCATTGTACCGTACACCAAAGGGCCTGGGAATTGTAGCTGCATATTTTCTGGAAACCATATGTTTTTAGCTTCCTCAACTCTAGTCTAATCACTAGACCATCACTTACATCATTTTCTCTTTGGCATCTTCAAAGCTCTCGGCGATGTAGTAGATTGGTTGGTACTCTGTAATCGGGTACTTCTGCGTGGCGGTTTTTTCCGGGTCAAAAGAGCGGTATTCCGGGTTTCCTTCTAAGGCGTATTGAAGCTCCCCGTAGGAAGACAGCAACCCGGCTCCATACGCTTTAAGGCCATCGGCTTCTCGGCAAAGACCAAACTCGACGGTGAACCAGAAGCACTGAAAGTCGAGTATTATCATCGGGGCGCTTATTTACCCCTGCAGAGCTAAAAGTGTCGTTTGGGTTTATCAATTAATTGAAGTAATTTTCCATTCAAACCGCCAGCTTCAGCTGAGCTCTTTTGCACAGTAGTAACTATTTAATTGCGCTCAGTCGTTTGGAATATTAATTTTTATCCCTTACCGTTGCCAGTTTTTCAATGTAATCATCAGGGGCCCCCAATGAAGCTAGTCCGATTTCCTGGGAGAATTGAGCAAAGTCCGGATCTGCAAATAGAGGTGCGTGCCCCAGCAGCTCGTGACAGACATCCGGTTCCGGAGTGTAGAAGGGTTTACTGGAATGACGAATATATTGTGTCGAGTGGAACACTCGAAATGCTAAACCTGCCAGAAAGTCTCGTGAAGACAGCAGGCCTGCTACAGGTCGTAGGGTGAAACCAGTACAATCTGAAACCAATCAGATTAAGCATTTTGAAGACTCATGTACTATCTATCACTACTATCAAGTACCAACCTCGTAGAAAATTCGAAACATCTTCCAGTTGGGGAATATTGTCTTCTCTGTATCCACAATTCTCTTCGAGAAGAGGAAATACGTGATTGTGTTCTTTGCACGCGTGCTTGCTGTAGAGGGTTTTCAATTGCCTGAACACAATTCCCCATGTTTTCACTTCAGCTTCCGAATAGTCCACGTGAGGCAGTTTTTGGCCATGCCTAGGACGAAACAGTGGCGCACTATTTTCCAGAGTTTTTACCAATGCGAATTAAGTACCTGTAGTTGTAAGCAATATCTGCAAAATACTTTCTCCTCGACCTGTATGTGGCATCCGTGAATCCTGGATGATCGGAATCCAGCTCGGATCCGTACGAAAGAATTTGGTTTGCAAAGCGATCCAAGTCTCTGATTCGACGTGGGAACCATGGAACCGTGTCTGGAAAATTAATATTTTCTTAAAAAAACGTCCGCTTCCAGCTATTTACACTAACTCACTCTCTTGATTCTTGTAGTCTCTGGAAATAACTTGTAGATATTGACTGGAGTTCTTGATGTCCTCAATGGCACCGTTTAAGCTTCCAGATGGAGCACACTCTACCATGAATTCGTACAAATCGGGCATTTTGGTGGATGGGCGCGATTCGATGTGTAACAGGTTGACATCATACTTCTTAAATGTGTTAAGGTACTTGGCTAGAACGCCCACTTCTTCTTCGGGAGGCGCAAAAAGCAGATATGTGCTTTTTGCAGAGTCTCGTCCTATTCTGATGTAATTTCCACCGGGCATCAATTTGGGCTAAAAGATCGAGAATCGTTCTTAGCGGATTTTCTGTCGCTTTATCAATGCATTTAAGTTATGTTTTTGCCCTTTACCACTATAAATGTTATGAAAAAGTAGTTCGATTTCCCGAATCATCTTCTGCCACTCGAGGGCAAAACGCCATTGCAAAATCGTTAACATTCGATTAAATTCCAAATCAAAATCAATTCCTGGGCTTCAGTCATTTATTGTCTATTTATCAATTAAAATACGTTTCGGTGTATTTTTCCACCATCATCAGTTTCTATGTGTAGCGTTGTTGCTGCTTTAAGCCTTGGCATGCATTTTTGCGTGCCAAAAAATGCATGCCAAGTTGGTCACATGAGACTAATCTAGCTCTTCGTAGCTGAAAAAACCTGGAAACTC